TCTCTCTCTCTCTCTCTCTCTCTCTCTCTCTCTCTCTCTCACTCCCATCCTTCTCCGCAGACTATAGTCCCTTTTCCGGTGCAGTAGTGCGTACTATAGCTATCTCATATGTGCCTATAAATTAGTACTTTAGTATTAGAGCGCAGGATGCGCGCTTGCGCCATCGCACCACGCACACGTACATACCGTGCGGCTGCACACGGGTAGTTGCGGGACACGTATGGAGAAGAGCGCGGCAGAGACTGAGAGAGGAGATGGTGTAGGTTCAAGGGGTGTAGAAACACCCTTCGCGCAAACATACGAGGATTATACGAATCTAATTGGATATATGGGATTTACACGCTCCACTGTACACCTCAGGTAACAATCGTTGCACTCTTACAAGCCGAAGGCGCTTGTCGACTTACGAGATTTCGAATGATGCGACTCTTGATTTGTTGCTCGCTGAAGCTTGATAATTTTACGCATCAAATCGACTTGTGACAACACGCTGTGCGAGCAACTCGGGGAAAATGCAAAACGCATCTCTCAATTCCTTCTTGCGCATAATTTTATTTTTCTTACTGTCAAAGTTTCAATTAAACACGAATAATGTCATTTTTAGACAAGTTGACGTTTATCATTCTGTGATATTGTCGAAGGAGATCGTAACAGCTGGCGGGTCTCTTGACTCTCAAGGATGGACGCTCGTGACGAGAGAATGGCATTAGAGCTGGGTGGTGTTAAGTGCATTGGGACCGAATCAGCGTCTATATATCAGTCAGTGGCGTAGAATCGAACACACTCTGTTTTCCTCCATCTCCGCGTAAAATCTGCCGCGTTCTCGCAAAACCAGACATATGCTGCGACTTGTGTGTGCGAGAATTCTCTTGACACATTATCGGATTTGTAACTTCTAATGCGAATACGACAAATCCATAAAAAATTTATACTAGGTGGATTGTAATCAAAACATTTATAGACTCGCGTATATTTATATATATATATTTTTGAAATATTTATATATGTTATATATATCATTAGTTTCGTACTTAACGACCTAATACGATAACTCTCCTCTTCTCTCGGAGTATCTGATTCTTATTTAACTTATTTAACTTATATAAATGAATATTTAAGCATATATATATAATTTACTTCTTTAAATTGTATTTTTATCGAATTTCATCGCCAATAATACGTAATAATTGATTGATCACTTATTGTTAGAAGACTAGTTAAAATTTAAATAGCACTTATTATCTCTAATTATATTATGTGTTACATAATAGCAATATTGTTTTCAGTTTTTCATCATACATTTATTCAAAAACTGTAACAAACAGAGTTCTTTATTTTATCATACAATGCTTTGATAAGAATCGATTTTGAGCTTTTTTCTCCGAGCTCCGCCGACAAATCGGTCTCCGGCTCGTAGGCGTGTCGATTTCACGGTAGAAGTACGACGAAACCGCGGCTAAAAGCCCGTGGATAATTCGCCGTTAACGCGCGCCGATACGGTCGAGAAGAGGGAAAAAGCGCGAGCCAGACCATCTACGCACAAATCGCGCATTATCACATACACCCTCTCTATCCCGCGCACAGGTGCATCGGGCCTATATACATATAGCAGAACTTCCGTTAATTAACGCGGGTGGATGCTAATGACTTCTGTTAAATAACCACACGCAAACGAGTGCTTTCGACATGCGTGTCCGATACCGGAAGTTAACGAGCGATCGATGATCGCTCTTTACTCGCGTCTAAATCAAAGATTCTTCTTAGAGAGCGACTACAAAAAGAGGTGCATATGTAGAAAAAATTGTCAAAACAATGTTTCATGCTCAGAGTTAAGTCCGCACAAGTCAAGAGAATACAATGAAAAAAAAAAAAAATGCAAATAACGTTGTTACACTTTGACGAGACGATCGCTTGGAAATATCGAGATTTTGATTCAGTACGAGGCAGGATACGATATGATAAAATTAATCATGATACCAATTGCGCCACATATGAGAGACTAATGTTACTACTTTAGAGTTTTTATCCGATAAATGATTACGAAGTCTATGTCCGACTATAAAGTCAGACATAAAATGAAACCAATGGCTCGTTTTCTTTTTTTTATATGCATCTTTATTAGCAATTCGCGAATTTTTTGTACACCGACTAACTTTTACGCATTGCAGCATAAAGATACAATTCGATTGATTTTTATTTGATGCCGTTGTTACAACGTGCTGCAACGAATATCGATCGATATGAACGATGTGATTTGTTTTATCGGAATCGAAAAGGTGTTCGAACAACTGGCCTGGATTGTGTGTGGAGAACACACCTTTCGATGACTAAGATGCTCTTAGACTGACGCCTTTTTCGTACAAGATATAAGCGCGGTCTGACGCGAAGCAAACCGGCGCGGCGGGTCAATTAGGAACATTGCTTTTTAAAAATTGATCAATCACTGCTTCGTCGGCGCGGGAGCGCGTGCGCCGTGGCAGCTGTTCCCAGGAAGCACCTGGGATCACAGGATGAGGGTGGATACGGACGTTGCTTTGGTTTTCGTATAATCGACACCGACTCTCTCTCTCTCTTTCTCTCTGGTAATCTGTCTGTTCGAGATCTCTGATCTGCTCTTACTTCGAAATTACTTAAATTTCTCAAAGCAGCTCTCGCAAAATTCCTTATATTCAGCGATGAAATACGAGATATGTGTATGTACGTGATGGTTCAATATTATATATAAATATTTTCTTTGTTTACACACGCAGTGTAAAGAATCGCGCATATTTGTTTACAAAAGTTTAAATAATAGTAAAAAAAAACATTGTGAGATAAAAAATAGATGTGTATGTGAATATTTCTCAAAAAGAAGATCACATATTTTATCAAGTTAAATTCTATTATTTTTTTATGCTAATATTTGTCATATAAAAAGTGATGTTACAAATAAAAAAATCAAAAAAATTTTATTATTATTGACATTTAATTACAAAAATATTTCAACGCAAATGAAATATGAATGTAATACATGAATGTATTCGAAATGTTATTAGTATTTATATTTTAGTACACGTGTACGTTCGACAATTCCTGCCGTCATAAAAATTGCCATAAATTTATGTGCTGCCATTTTTGCGCAGGAAGCTCACGCAAAATTTGCATGACAGAGTATTTACATTTATAATTCGCTATTCATTAATTTCGGATCCAAGTAATTCCACTCGTTAAATGAGTAATTTTCCATCGTTGAACGCATTTGTAACACAGTATAGTGCGCACGATCGGTGTTTTAATAACAATAGTTCATTATTGAATCATGTATATAAACAAGAAATTAAGATTTCAAAATCGAATCGTTGAATATTTATTTCTTAGAAATCCTGATTCTTTTAATGATTTTTATCTCATAATTCTACATGTATAAACAAATTCTTACGAAAAGTTTCATGCATCTCCGTTAGACTTGGTTTTACCAAGTCGAACTGTAACGATTCTCTTTCGGAAACATTTCTGGAATGACGGAGGATCATAGAAGACGGCGAAGATCGCGACTTTCAGCCAGCGACTTTTTCTATTTCTTTACGTCGATCGCGAATGGCTTAGTTTAACTCCGTGGGAGCCCTCGAGCCCTCAAGGGGAGGTCGAAGGTGGTAAAACGTGAGCATTGGCCAGGGCAGGGATGGTTTGAGGTTAGGGTGAGGTTTAAGGGGTGGGGTAGGGGTGGCGAGACCTCGTAAAGGGGGTTTTAGCAGGCGCTGATATAAATTGAGCTTGCCATCAAGGCAAGCGGCGGGATCTGCCCGAGACCCCAAGATATATAGGAGTAGCTTTCAGCACGCCATTGAAGAATAGTCCGACTCACTTCGCGGAAAAACGCCTCGAATCGCCACGAAACGAGATAACGTTTCTCTTTCGTGATTCCGGGATGGGAGAAGCTCGCCGCGATGAAATCTTGATTCACTGTCTCGAAGAGTCGATTTGGGAGATTAATTTTTTATAACCGAACGAAAAACCAATAGTTCTCTCAATTCGATTTGTCCGATAAATTTACATTGTTGCAGTATGCACGGGCTATTTTTTTCTTTTTATGATAGTTTTATGAAATATTTAGTTTCATACAAGATAAAAAATGTCTGCTCGCATATAGAGTATCACTACCAATCTTTCTTATTTGAAATTTTAACGAACCGAGAGAGTGACACAAACGTATGACCCATTTTCTATTGTCATCAACTATAAAGACGTTAATGCTGTAAATATTTTATTTATTTTTTTTTTTTGTATTTCTTATCCAACATATATTAAACGCGTATTATTATATTCTTGAAATAATCAATGAAGAGGTCACGAAACTGATCAATT